GCCATTAATTTAGGTTAACCAGTTAATACATGTTTTTTAACCACTTAATAGTTATTTATCTAACAAAAATTTGTTTGTTTCATATTGAATATTTTTTTTTCTTATAATTTTTTTAAATTAAATAAAAAATTGTCTCTTGAATACTATCAGTTGCACCAGTTGTGCCTAGTATTCCAAAGACACAAAATAAACACAAACGAGTTACATAGTTTAACCAGCATCACTATTACCACTATACAAATATGACAAAATCCCTCTTCTTCCTCTTCCCCTTTCTATTCCTCTCCCTCTTCCTCGGTGTTCTCCAACTGATGGGAACCGGTTTTTTTTTAGATTTTCCTTCCTTTTCGAAATAATCCGGTTGTATAACAACCAGATTTGTATAAAGACAGGAACAATCCAATTAGACTTGTGTGGTACTGGATAAATCGTTCTGCAATACGCTAATGTCCATAGCTTCAATCAATAATATTCAGTACCCCAGTTTCTCTCAGTAATACCCGCTGTCTTAGTAATACTAGTTGGTCCAGTAATACCCAGATTATGTACCCAGAAAATTTATATTTATCTACGAATCTACAATGATTTACTACGATTCGGGATAATTCGATGCACATTTAACGATTATAACCGGTGATATTTACTGATGTAAGACTTTTAGCAAATAATTTTAATAACCCAATAATCCAAAAGAAATCAGAACTATGGCGTTATGAAAAGCAAGAGAAACCATGAAGAAGATGAAGATGTAGGGTCCGCAGATGGTTTAAAATTAATTAAAAATTAAATTAGATGGTTATTTTCTTTTTATTTATTTTATTTGTGTTGAAAGAAAATATTATTAAATTAAAGAAGAAAAATAATGAGGGTAAACTAGAGAGAAAAATAAGAGAAAGGTAGTGAGATCATAGAGGAGGTAGTGAGACTATTTTGAAACAAATAAGGGTATATTAGCTCTTCACCCCAACATTTCAATACATGTAAATGTAATAGATGCAATAGCGTTTGTTGGTTTGATTTGGAAAGTAAAAAAAAAAAGCAATACCAATCTGGCATACCTATTGTAACCCTTTACTTCGAAAGAAAGCAACGTTTCAAATTCGTTTTTTCATATATATATATATATATATATATATATATATATATATATATATATATATTTGTATTTCAATGTTTTGTATTGACTTTGTAATCCTTTTTGTACTTTGATAATTTAATGAAATTTAGACGATAGAAAAATCCAAATTAATATAAACAAAATCTGAGATTTTGGATTTTGTATAATTTTATTGTATATTAATTTATCAATAATATCTCATAATTATTTGATATCTATTTCGGAAAAAAATCAAAAAATTTGTATATTCATAATATTTTAAAAACATTTCGTCCTATCATTAAAAAATTAGTCACAATATAAGGAATAAGACATAAACAAATTTAAAGATGAATAAAATTGGAGGAAAGTGAAGAAGACGAATGACAAAGACGATAAGGAAGATGAAAGAGAAGAACGTAAGATAGTTGGAGAATAATGTGATAAAATAAATTGTCAAAGAAAATAAAGAAAATAAGAAGGAGAGGGAAGAAAAAAGAAAAAAGAAAAACCGGTAAATAATAAGAAGTGGAAATGAGATAACGATGATTAAAAAAGAGAAGAATGAGAAGACGAGAAAAAAAAATCAAAAAATTAAGAAGATGAAGAAGAAAATGATGAAGCCGATAAAGAAGAAGAAAGCTATGAAGAGGAAGAAAAAATCATAGAAGAGGAATAAAGCTGAAAGACATAGGAGACAAAGTAAAAAAATATGTGAGTTCTTTGTAAGAATTCTATAAGAATATTAAAAGAGATTGTTAAATCTATTGATATATTTATTTGTATTGATTTAGAAGTGTGTTTCTTTGAGAGTATTTAAATTCAACCAATTTATATATTGGATATAAAAAATTGGTGTAAAAATTGGAAAATGTGTTATAGCCATAAATGTTAAATCAAACAAAGACAAGATGATACTATATGGTATTGTGTATATATCTTTTTTTCAAATGCTCTCAATTTTTAATATGTTTATGCCTATACATGGTGGAGACGGTCTAACTATCGTCAAACGGTATAAAGTAAAATAAGCAATTTGTTCGACACACTTATAAAAATAAAGAAAATCAAAAATATTCAATTTTTTTTGTATTAGAACAACAATAACCCACAATGTTATTATTTGAGAGACCTTTTTTACTGTAATTCTGTTAGTAATATTTAAATGAATGTATTATATACTCTATAATTTCTACTGAGATGTAAAGACAACTACTACGAGAAACAGTTGCAGCAACTTTAAGAAGTTCTTACAAATGCTTATAGTTTATGTTTGTCAATGCTAATATAACTTGATAGTTTGTTTTTGAATATTTATATCTTTTAATATAAAAATATTATGAAAATTTGGTTGTTATAAATATAAAAAATGAATGCAAACTAACTTTATTAATAAATAGTAATATTGTAATTCGTGCATAACATTTGTCTGCGTTGTGTGCGGGGTCATCTAATACATAAGTATAGAATATATAAAAATCTTAGCATTTGTTTTTTATTTTTTCCTTATCAAAAATATTTTTTAGTAGAATATTTTATATATTAGTATAAAATTAAGATTTTAGTTTTTTTTAAATAAAGTAAAATCTAAATAGATATTATTTAGTTTCAAAATGTTATTTTATTTTTATTTTGTTAAATCCTTTTTATATTATAAGAATTCAAAATAAAATTAACTTAGTCATTTCGTATATAATTAATTCTAATATTTTTTAAAAATAATAATGGTGTAGTTTTCAAATTATAAACTGGTTTTGCTATATCTTCTCAATTTTTTTCTTCCATCTATTATATTTCAATAATTAAGATTATTAATCACAAATATAGATTTATGATCAATATTGTTTAACTGATCTTTCTAATTTATTGATGAATGGGACATCTCTTCAACAAAATGTGCACTATCAAAACTCAAAACAAATTGTAGAAACCGTCTTTTTGTACTTAACATTCTTTGGTTGCAAAAGAAATTTACATAAATAATATATTTCATTTTTTTTACTTGTCTCTTTGATTGGCAACATGTGGTATCTTTGATTTAGTTTGAGTTATAACTCAAAAATGTTACCAATCATGCATTATTTTTGTTTTTTTTTTGCATTAGAATTTGAGTTACAATGTGTTATGGTTGAATTTGAGTTGCATTAAAATGTTGACTTATGCCTTTATAAAATTTATAACTCAACTCAAATTCTTAAATCTCCGACTGGTGACATGTAATTTTAAAATCGAGTTACGGATGATGTTATAATTAGATGTAAGTTGCAGTAAATTTATGTGGTAAAAACAGTAGATTTATGTGGTAAGTTTGCTGTTGAAATCCGAGTTAATATTTTTGTTAAAATAGATGACTGGTAATTTTTTTGATGTATAAGTTGCAGTATATATTATTTAATATAAAATTAAATGATTGATAATAATAATAATGTTTATTACAAATTATAATAATATAATCAATTAGAAAATTAATACTAACATAAAAACCATCAAACTAAATAAATTATTTTTGATAATAATAAGGAATAATAAAAACCTAAAGTGAATTCAATCTGATTTGCAAATTGGTTTCGTATGTTATTCATATATTGGCCATCGGTTGTTGACTCTTCTTCTTCAATGGTGTTTGTGTTTGTGGACAATTAACTAAAAATTTTCATATATATATTAGTAGTTATTTAAAAAAAATATAAAATAAAATCGACAATTAAGATTATAGGAACAACTTTGTGTGAATAATTCAAATAGCAACAAATATCTTCAACTAACTTCAAAAAGATTTTCTCAACAAAAATTTGTGAAAGTAATAATCAAAAAAAAAATTTCTACCAACCTTTTTTTTTGTAAATACACATAACCTAATAGTTTGCGATGATTTCATGAACCTCATTCTCTTTTTTTTTTCTTGCCTGCTAGGCAAGATTATAGGATAGCAACCAAGCCACATCTTTTTTAGCTGTTAGTGTTTTTTTTTAAATAATGAAAAATCAAAATTAATTGAGACAAAATATGATAACTCAATTTGTAAATCATCACTTTTTCTTTGATTTAGCTTTGACTTTTGATTTAGCAATTTAATAAATAGATAACTCAAAATTTTACATCAGGCATAACTCATTATAACTCAAACTTAAAATCAAAAAACCAAATTTAACACTTGATTGATAACATTTTTGAGTTAAGCTCTTAACTCAAACTTAATCAATGCTAACTCATGTCACCAATCAGAGCGGTGAGTTACAAGTTGAGTTAGATATTTATTTTGCATTAGTGTAGTTTTTATTTTTGCTAATCAAAACTTTTAAATAATTCTAATTTTTTATAATTTGTTTTGTTGATTAAATCAGCTCGAAAATCTCTTTAACATTACTTGTCAAAAATATTTGTAAACATTTGAATTATTCAAAATTAGGTTTTCCTATATAATTAATTATTGATTTTATTTGGTATTTTAAACAATTACTTAAATATATATATATATATATATATATATGAATGCTTTTAGCTAATTGTTGATAGAGATACATACACCATTAAAAAGTCTAAGATCTGTTTTTATTATTATTATTTAAAATATTTGTTTAGTTTGATGAATTTCAAGTTAGTGTTCATTTCTTTATTCAATTTTATTGTTATAATTTGTAAAAAAATATCAGTTTTAATGATTTTATTTTATTTTATTTTAAATAATACATACTACAATTTATACATCATAATATTTCGGTTGTTAGTGAAATGAGATTAGAGTGCTCGACAATTTTTAGCATGAACTTGGGGGTATTAGAGGATCTTCTCTTACTCCTTGGAAGCGTGTTACTCTTCTGAGAGGGAACATCATGGATGAAGCAACAGCGCTCGAATCTGTGGTTTCAGTCTTCTAAAGTTGGTTTCTTCTCAATGTTTATAGTATGAATCATAAGGCGTCAACGAGATACTCCAACAGGAGGGATTTTGGAGTAGAAAGACAAGACTCTTTTGCAGCTGATATAGTTCCGAGAAGACACTATGCTCCTTACGAGAATAGGATGAACAAAGGTCCATCTAAGTGGTCAAGGAATCTGGTTTGGACGGCATCTGATGGCAACAGGCCAAGCAAGAACGATAACACCCATGGATCATCGAAACCACCAGTTTTAGGAAAGAATGGTGGGTACGTGCAAAGAAGCTCATCTGTTTCAGAGACTAGAGGTTGGGTGTCGAGAGATAATGGCAGTCCTAAGTCTAGGGATTGTGTTTGTAAGTTTTGGAAAGCTGGAAACTGCAAGAGGGGTGATCAATGCCAGTTTTTGCACTCGTGGTGTTGCTTCCCTGGAATGGCTATGGTAGCTTCTCTTGAAGGACACAAGAAGGTACTTTTTTCTACTTGCTGTTTTAGTCTTTACTAAATAAAAAACGTATCTTGTTGACATGTTAAACTTTTTTTGTCTATAGGAACTAAAGGGGATTGCACTTCCTACAGGTTCAGATAAACTCTTTTCGGCCAGTAGCGATGGTACAGTGCCAATATGGGACTGCGACACTGGCCAGTGTGTTCATACATTCAACCTCCAGGCAGAAGCAGGGTCTCTAATCAGCGAAGGCTTATGGGTTTTCCTTGGCTTGCCAAATGCTGTAAAGGTTAGTTCAGGGCCTTTCTTAACGCAACCCATTCTTCTTCGCTCAGATGGGATTTGTCGAGTTGATTATAATCTCAAAGATTTTTCTTTATACAATCTTGCAGGCTTTTAACGTTCAAACCAGTAAAGATTTGCATCTTAACGGGGTGGTTGGTCAGGTCCATGCTATGACTGTTGCAAATGGAATGCTTTTTGCTGGGACAAGTGTAAGCATCTTTACTCAATCTCCCTTGCTTTTCAACTTGTGTTAATTCTCTGCTTCGTTGAGGGATCTAAAGTAAGTTTTTTTTTTTATCTTTTTGGAATTGCACTCTGGTAGCGTATCAGTCTGGAAAGCAACTGACACCGAGTCTGATCCGTTCACATACCTAGTAACATCCCTCGAGGGACATCATAGTGGCCAAGTCACGTGTTTTATTGTCGGACGAGAGCGAGTATACTCTGGCTCTGTCCTCTGTGGATAAAATAATAAAGGTGCGGGATCTCAACACACTGGAATGTACAATGACCCTGAGACAACATACATACACTGTCACGTCTCTCTTATGTTGGGATCAGTTTCTGTATTTGTCTTCATTGGATGGAACTATAAAAATGTGGTTTGTTCTGAAAATGGCAGTTTTAAAGTCGTGGATACTCGCAGACAAGAACAGGTAAAGTTTTGTTGTATATACACGACTATATCCTCACTCCAACTTTGGTTTTAACAATAAGCATTTCTGATTGTTTGAAACAAAGTGTGCATGCTCTTTGTGGGATGAATGATGCAGAGGCCAAACCGATCATGTTCTGCTCTTACCAAAAAGGGACTGTCAGCATCTACGATCTACCATCATAAGTGAATCTTTGTCCTAGAATCACTCTAATTGTAATAATTTTTTCATTCTTTCTGATCAATTCTGAATCATTCCTTGTTTTGGGTTATACACAGTTTTAAAGAAAGAGGAAACATATTCTCGACGCAGACAATCGGCACAATCACAATTGGTCCTGGCGGACTCTTATTCAGTGGAGACAAAAGTGCTGCGTGTTTGGAACTTAGCTATAACCACCAAAGTTTAGCAATTTTATAAATTCTAATATTTTAGAATATTGATTTAATACAGTAGAAACTCTATACATTAATATTCGATAAATTAATAAACTTTATAAATTAATAATTTTGTTTGGTTTCGAATTGGGTCGGTTCAAAATGTAGTAGATAAATTAATAAGATAATAATTACTTTAAAAATCTATATAATATATAATCTTATTAATATTATAAATTAATAAATATCATATAATATAATTTTATATAATATATAATTATGATAATCTATTAAAATATTATTGTTTTCATATTAAAATTAAAATATTTTTATCATTTATTTTAATTTTATAATAAAAATTTTGAAAATAGTATAAATTCAAAAAAAAATATTTTAATTAATTATTAATAAATAATTTATTTTATCCAAATTGATAAATTAATAACTTTATAAATTAATAAAATTTTAAAATTTTAATATTATTAATTTATAAAATTTCCAGTTACTTGATAATATGAGTTAAGAGAGAGTTTTCTTCTGTAATGTCTCGAGGATATTGAAAAAAAATCAGTAAAGGAAACTGAATTTCAAAACGCTCTTATTTTCATCGTTTAATTTTGTCTTAGCAAAACGAAGAGATTATATATATATATGTCTTGGATCCATTATGCACGATGGATGGTGGTGTTAACTTCATTCAACAGATTCATCAAGCAATCTTTAGAGATCATGGCATAGAAGAAAGAGGCTCCATGTGATGTAGTTAGTGGAACCAATTTTTCATGTTGACCACGAAGAACAAGGTGCTGAGGTGAGTTGGGTTTGGATTGTTGTTGAGGTATTGAGGCAATTAGCAAAAAGAAAAGGGTAAAACAAAGGAGATGGTGTGGAAATTTTAGCTTAAATATATATTATTGTATTAAAATATTTCTTCTAAATTCTCCACTTGCAAAGAAATTTTTGTTTGTTTTGTTATATGTTTTTGATTCTTTTTCATGTGTAACATGATCACACATGATCGCATATCTAAATACGTTTCTATATTTGCTTCTTCTGAAAAGGTTTAGAAATTTTTGTAATCTTTTTGTAAAATTTAAATTTATCATCAACCAGAAAATATGTAACCAGAAAATGTTACAAAAACTAATATGTTATAAATCTATATATTTTGATTTATGTAAATGGAAATAAGCAAACACAGATAAGCACATGGACCGTAATGTGCTGGATTCTCCATTCACAAAGTCAAATTGAACATTATTTCCTCAAAGTAAAGACGAAATTTTTGGCTTTTGACTCTATTGCTTCAATTGAATCGGCTAAAAGTGTTGTTAACGAAAAAGTCTTTTAAAAGAGCTCAGAGGGGCAAATAGGTAAATCAACAACAACTACTCGGCGTGCGTTATCCACAGTTGGTGAGAGTTGGACGCAAAATGCGAACATGACAGCTCTTCTAACGATGATGTAAAAAAGCAACACGTTAACGTTCGTTTTGGAATGGTTTTGAGATTTGCATGATCACATGATTACTATTAATAGTTTTTTAAATTGACCAATTAAAAAGGTAGGTAACCATAATAAGACAAAATAAAAGCGCTTTCATAATTTGAGCTTACTAGAGCAAAACAAACCACGTTGAAGCAGATTCAAGAAAACGGCTCTCTCTACTAATAATTAATTCATCTATAATTCAAAAGACAAATGTCAATTTATCTGGTAAATGATTACAAACAAATTCAACAGCTTTTCTTGTTATTTTTTTCATCAAGACTTTCTTAAATCAGAGACCATTACAGATTCGGATTCAGAACTCTCCCTAAACTTTTTGTAAATATCACCTTTGTAAAACTTTCTCGTCCTTATCGCTAGACCCAAAGACACAAGTGCTCCAAAGAACGTTACTCCAGCCAAAATCACAAACGGCAACTTATAACATTGACTTCCTAAGCAAGTCAAGTCTTTTACATCTTTTCTTGTTAGCCCTCGAGCCGTTAGTTGCTTCAAGGCCTCTCTATCGTAAAGCATCCCCGTGACACGAACGTTCAAGATGTAAGACCCGAGCGGGCTAGCGAGCTGTCCGCAATTGAACAATGTAGAGTAGTACTTGAGCCCGAAAAGCTCTGAGATGATAGCAAAGAGCAAAGGAAGTTGCGCGCCGAAAGAGAATCCCATTAGAACCGAGGCTATGTATACCGAACCAGGTACCGGGAACGCGATGAGAAGATGGCCGGCGCAACTCAGTAAGAGGACTAATGTCATCATGAGAGGTCTTGGCAGTTTATACTTGGCAAGCAAGTATTCAGAGACAAAACCAGAGAACACTCGACCAAAGTAGTTCCATATGCTAACTAGAGACACAAAAGAGCTAACCGTATGGTTCGGGTAGCCGAGTGATTCCCCTATCTGTCCTAAGTTGTCAACCGCGGTCAAGCTCGACCCTAGACCGCAGAAAGTGGCCACAAAAAGGATGATCATGTCGATACTAAACAATGCTTGGAGTATTGTGTAATCTTCCCCTCTTGGAGGTGGATCAAAAACCGTCAAGAAACAAGATTTCTTCTCCTTCTCTTCTTGATCCGCCTCAGCGGTTTTGTCCTGATCAAGATCAATTGCTTTCTTGGGTTTCTCAACTTTAACCTCACTTGGCTCTTCCACAGGCAGCTTCTTCATGTTCCACACTTCAATCTCCTGCTTAACCGCAACCGTGAAAGGCACAAAGAGCAAGACACAACAGATCGTAGCGCTTGCCGTGTAAGCGGCTTTAGAGAAATGAACTTGCTTCTCAGCGATGTTCATAGCCATGAGGAACAAAGCCAAGAATATTGAAAGATAAAGGAAGTTGTAAAACACATTCAGCTCATTCCTCTGCCTCACGACCTTCTTCTCTCTTATGGAATACACAAACACAAGCGATACCACAGCAGGTAACCAAGCGATCAACAGAATCAAAGACTTTGAATCGTTACCATAGATCGCAAAGTAAAGCTGCGTCATGATTGCTCCACTTAAACCAACGTAACCTTTAAGCAAACCAAGCATAACTCCTCTGCTTTCAGGGAAGTTCTTGACACAAGTAACCAAAGCTCCTGTGTTTGCAAAATTCTGAGAGTTGGCTCCGATGCAAATGTAGAGACACATTTGCCAAACCTTTGGCTTCGCTACTTTGCCTGTAACGGTGAGCCAGATCATGAAGTAACCGACAAAGTTCATCGCCGAGCCGATGGTTAGGACGAACCAAGTCGGTGTGACCTCGGCTATGAGTCCGGACATGACTCCTACGTTTGCTCCGAGATCTTTGAAGAAACCTAACAGGTTTAACGTTGTCTGGTCGTAACCGAGTGTGGATTTGATATCTTTAGAGTAAGTACCGAAGAGATAAGTGGCTCCAGCGCAAGCCATGATGAGGAACGATGCAAAGACCATGAACCATCTTCCATTGAAGAGGTGAATCAAGAATCGTACGGTCTCGCCTGATTGATGGATCCCGTGTCCCATCTTGGAAACAAGAGTAAGTGTATATAATCAAGATCTATGTGAATCTGGGAACTTTGTAAAGATTTTGATTCTTTGAGGATTATCTTAATTTGGTATTGGGATGATCACGAACGAAAGATGATGAATGATTAAAGTACTGGTTTAGTGTAGAAGGAGTCTTCAGGGCTATAAAGTAGATCAGAAGAATATGGATATTTTTACATATGTATGTATCGAAGAGAGAGCCATTTGTCGGAAAGTTTTGAGGAAGATTCGCCATTTTATTGAATCCCAGAAAGAGAAAAAAATTGATAAAAGTTGACCAAAATGTATATCTGTCTTTCCTAAATTTGTCGGTTAGAAATTACAGTGAAGAGATAAGAAGATACACATTTCTGGCATTTGTTAATATATCCTTATCCTTGGACAGTTATTTACGACAGACAGAATTAGGAAAGACAGATAAATGCTCAGTATCTCTGTGTTGTCGATTTGAAAGAGATATATAAATAGGCAATAATCCAGTGTAAGTTGAAATTAATCTGAAAATAAACCGATTTAAGTTGACCAGATATCTCTTTTCTAGTTTACATGTGGATGCTGACGTAATAGTGGTTATTAATTAGTAAACACTAAACAGTAGTTAAATGTTGCTCGAGATTGTCTCTGTTACTTTTTGGAACAATCTGTAAAGATCACCAAAATAAACGAAAACAATGAATTGATTCTACATTTCTACTAATGAATCAACAAAATCACTAAAATAGTCAAAAAGAAACATTTACTCATCTATACAATGAATTTTTCCATTCCTTATCTCCAAACTAATCAAAATACAAGAGGCCTTAAGTTTTTGTACACATTTCTAAACTAAAGCATCATTTTTTATCTATCTAAATTCTAAAATGAAAATATTGTAACACTAATTATTTAGAAGAAAAAAAGTAGAAGATATAAACCCAATATATCCATATGGGTGGCCGGGCCCAGTCATTTTGGGGCTGGAACAACGAAGGCTAAACATGGTCCACCAGTTTAAAAACATTAAGGCTGTTTAATTTGTTAAACCGTGGGACTAAACGGGCTTAGTCCGTTTTAATCCTGTTTATTTCTAATAACTAATTTGACGATCATGGACTTAAATTTGCATTATGACCTGTTTAGGTCCGCAGATTTTAAGCCCACGTCAACAATCCTTGTATGAACCATAAGTTCGTTCGGCTGGCTCTTCCACAATCTTTTTTTTTTGTGTGCAAAGGCTCTTCCACACTCTAAATGCAAAACTTCTTCATGTTAAGCACTTTCCTCTCTTGCTTGGATGTTAAACGATAATAGTTAGCCCTGAAAATTTTGGGACGAGCAGTTCCCTCCCATATCCATTTTTAATTTTCTATTTCTTTTCTTATTTAAAAAAATCTTATTTAGAATCATTTATTTTATTTAAACAAGTAAAGAAGTTATCTTTAATTACATATTTTTTTCAAAATTTTCCTCATTTTTTTTTAAATTTTTCTAAAATATTTCCAAAATATATATTCTTAAATTAAAAGTTTGGAATTCTCATTTCCGTCTCATACGGTTATGTCCATAGATTCTTATCTCATATCTGTAGATTCTCATTTTGTTTTCGTCGAATTCCCTTAAAGAAATCGTTTCTCATTTTCTAAATTTTCTATTCCATTCTGTATTCACAAATTCTCTTTCTGAATCTCAAAAATTTCAGGACTAATAATAGTCATAAGGAGCAAAAAGACAGCAAAAGTCAATCAAAAGTTTAAAAATGTCTCATTCAATACCACAAACAAAATAAATCAATAGTTACATCCGTCTTTTACGACATGTAAGTGGAGTAATCGAACATGATTCCAAATTAAAAAAATATATATATTATTCAAGAAAAAACTAACTAGATATATATGTGAATTATGGCCTAATTTTTTTTTTCATATTTCCTTCTGTCATATTAAGAGCAAGAGAACTAGAAGAAAACAAATGTAATAAAAATATGTAATTGTAATATGATGAAAAATGAACGTAAAATCTGTGTTACTAAATGTAACTCGTACTCTATAGAATCTTTGTTTTTTTTCAGATTGTTTGTCAACTTTTGATGTGCTAAATAAAGAACCTATACAGTGATATACAGTATACAGTATACACTATACAGTGAAGCGGATCACATGGCTAGACTATTGGGAACCTAGGAGGTGTTTTTAAACATGTGTACGTTCTTATGATAAAAAGGTAACCATAAAAATGTTGAAAAAATGAATGTATCTCATACTCTAGAATCTAATTTATACAGTTTTCAAATTGTCCGTGAACTTTTGGTGTACAACATCCAATATAAAAAACACATATACTTCAGACTTCAGAGCCTGGGATTTGTGTCACCACTAATATATATATATAATTCTTAAATTTCCGATCTTGGGGCATGTTCTTCAACTTGGTGTAGTAGGACCAGTGAAGGACATGGTGGAACAAGAATGGTTGAATTTGTTTTTTTTTTGTTGCTTAGCTGACCCAATTTGAGTGAAATAGAGATTGATGTTCAGTTCTATGTTCGTGTTAACGTTATAATATTTTTTCAAATACAATAGATAGACCAGATTCAACAAATATTAGACTAATCGCTAACCACTCATAAACATCTACAATTTTTTTGTTAGTCTTTTATTTATTTTCCTTTTTATATATTATATTATGGATTATACATGTCATTCCAGCTTAACGAAGCAACCTCTTGAGAGTGACTTTATACCTTATATTATTTGGCTTGTTATGTGTAATATGTAATACAGATTGCCGATTAGCCACTAATGTTAACACATAACTATCTAAACATCAATTATTTATATATGCGGTCGGCTGGCAAAAATTGATAGTTTATGATAAGTTGATAACCGAACATGTCAATATCCTATCCCTTCTTAATTTTTTCATAAACAAAAGGTGCAGAAAAGGCGGGGTTGGTAAACTTTTGCATCTCTTCTTCTAAGTACTAATACCTAATTAGCATTAATTAATACTTTACCTTACGTTATCTATATATATATGCAACGGAGGATTTCTAGCTCCAACTGTGAATGTCTTTTATGGATTGAAAATATGTATAATAAGGATACGTAATTAAAATCGCGGGACACTAGTATAGTGTTGTATTTTAATAGTGCTCAAATTAGTAAGAAGATTTTAAAAAATGTATGTGGTCATGTATAATGATTTCTAGGAATTTTAAAAACATCCGAAGAGTAGAGGGACCCGTAGGCCGTAGTGGCACAAAACTGTAAAACCTGAGAAAAAGAGAAAAAAAACTTCCATGATAGAACATCTTTTCTTTTGGAAAACAAACTTGATAAAATATTTACGAAGTTCTTGGGATTATAGGATGATTTGATTGTTATAGACTTACAAATGACTAAATGAGAGAGGGTTCGTGTATTTGTAGGCTTAAGATTGTAAAATGTCTTCTAGATTGTCTGTCACATTTGCACACACACAAAAAAAAAAAAAGATTGTCTGTCATAATATGCATATTTTTTTAATAAGTTATCTAATTATCTAGTCCATTTTTTAATTTCATCTAGAATATTTTAAGTAAATTTATATAATAAGATGTTCACTGAATTTGAGATTAATCCAATATGGATACTACTTAAATCTAAAATCACCATTTGTTTAAAACACTCTCCACTAAACTTGATGAATATGTCAAAGAAAACAAATTATTTTGTCAATCATTTCAAGTTTTGAACGGATTAATTCAAAATGAATTTTCTGATAGTTAATCAGGTGAAAATAGCCGCATTAGTTTTAGGAGGATCATGTAACACCATATGTATACTAATTTTACGTATATTATCTAGCGTCATTAATAGTTCTGTAGTATTTAGTCATCGGAAAACCTGAACTTACTCTATAAATTAACTATGCCGCGAGGATTTCAACTGTAAGAATAGGCTTTGTAACTAAAGTCCCCTTTAAATGAGACACGAAGGTTAACTCAAGCGCTAATGTAATTAATATTATAAATATTTAATACTGAACAAGATGGTCTTCGAAAACACCAACATACCTTGGAATGAAAAATGTGTTGTTTAATTTTAATTAGGATTAGCTATTGTAAAATATGTTAGATGGTAAAAGTACACGATTTCTCTACATGAAAGAAAAAATAACAAAAGTTTTAAACCAAAAATAATAACGAAATTTGGTGGCTACGTGGTTTCCAATGGTTCCCTATTCGAGTTGGGGCCATTATCCCTTGCCGTGTACGGTAATACTACCAAACAATAAACATTATCTGATTAAGGATAGTTTTAGTAGTTTTTTTTGGGACCATATTTGATCCAGACAATACCAACCAAAAATTTGCAGTACTTAAACGTTAAACCATTCTTCTGTATAGTATTGTATATAAGCTAATGGATTCGAAAGCTTAAGGAAGTCTTTTAAATGTTGCCCGTCAATTTCTGTCCATTCTCTATTTACAGTATTTGATCTGATGTAAGACTCGATTTAGTTGTAATTAATATATCAATAATTCTAATAATTTGCTATAAATTCGATAACCCGTAACATTTTTTTGTACAAAAAGAGTTTTAGATTGCAGACTTGGAGTCCATAGTCTTTTGACACTTTTCTGATCATAGACTAAATATATTAATTTAGTAGTATGTTTTAAGTGGCTGTGACATTTTTGTTGTTCAGCTTTTCAGGCCCAATCTTACCTTAGCTCGTTTCTTAAGGGTTGTTTACTCATTCCAATTTATATCATAAAAATGTAAGATAACAGAAAATAACACGGTGCCTTGATATCATCTGTACAAAGAAAATGGAACTTTTTTGGCATATGAGTTTATTAATTTAAAAATCCTAACATAAAAAAAAAACAAAAATCGCTTACAAAGAAAAACCAGGAAAAAGAAAAAAAATATATATCAAGATCAATAGAAAATTTGAATGTTTTATATCTTAAGAGTCAAAAACATAATATCTCTTAAGAAGAGTCAACAAATAAAAGATTAATATGGATAGTCTTCATCAAACTTTCTCCAACTCCTATTGTTCCACCTTTCACCATTCCTTAATCTCTACTTTATCTCCCAAACCCAAATCTGAAAACCCCTCTTCACCAACTTAAAACCCTATTAACTAATTTCCAACAAATCAGATGATTCAAATCAAACAAGAAGAGGCCACAAGATTTATCCCGGAGAATCAAGAACGATGATAACACATAAACAGAGAAGAACAGAGAAAGGTTTCTGTTTCAAACACTACTACAAATGGATCCTCTGTTTTTCACTCACTCTCTATTTTCTTGTTTCCTTCTTTGTCGATCATGACCAAGAAGAAGACCATCCTTTGTCTTCTTCTTCTTCATCCCGATCAAACCCTCTCTTAACTAACCCTAAACCCAAGCTTCTTGCTTCTCATGCCGTCTTTGAATCCAAAATCCATGATAGCACACTTGAGTTTTCCCCTCGACGTCTCAACATCAAAACAGGTACATAAGTTTGATTCATCTTTGCGCAGAGGCCAACCTTAAGGGACTAAATTTTCATGTTATATAACAATATTTTGTTATTGTTTTTATTTTCTTTAGATGTATTCAACAATTTGAAGATATACGTCTATGACTTGCCTTCCAAGTTCAACGCAGATTGGTTAGCCAACGAAAGATGCAGCAACCACCTCTTCGCCGCGGAGGTGGCTCTTCACAAGGCGTTGCTCAGCATCGAAGGTGATGTACGGACGAAAAATCCGTACGAAGCCGATTTCTTCTTTGTCCCTGTCTATGTTTCTTGCAATTTCAGCACCATCAATGGCTTTCCTGCGATTGGTCACGCAAGATCACTCATAAAGGAAGCCATCGGGCTTGTCTCGGCTCAATACCCGTTTTGGAATCGAACCAGTGGCTCTGACCACGTCTTCATCGCCACACATGACTTTGGTTCTTGCTTCCACACCATGGTTAGTTCCAAAATGAAACCTAGTTTTTAATTCTTTGGTTTCTTTTTGTGGCCAATTTTAGATATTTATTTATATTAAAATGAATTTTTGTTTTTGTAGGAGGATAGAGCAATTGCTGATGGAGTACCAGAGATTTTGAGAAATTCAATAGTTTTGCAAACTTTTGGTGTTACATTTAAGCATCCGTGCCAAGAAGTAGAGAACGTTGTGATACCACCGTACATCTCGCCGGAAAGTTTGCACAAGACTCAAAAGAATATTCCGGTTGCTAAAACTAAAGAACGAGACATTTGGGTTTTTTTCCGGGGAAAAATGGAAATTCGTCCCAAAAACATCAGTGGACGCTTTTATAGCAAGTAAACAAAAATCTTAATTTAAATTTATTTATTTTCAAATAATTAGATCATATGTCATTATCAATTTATCATCTTAGAATAATTTAATCTATACTCAAATTTAATTAATTTATTTTTTTGACTTATTGAATGACATTTTTTTTTCTATTAGGCGAATAAGGACGGAGATATGGAGGAGTTACGGTGGTGACCGGCGGTTTTATCTCCAACGACAAAGATTTACCGGTTACCAGTCAGAAATAGCTCGTTCTGTTTTCTGTTTGTGTCCCCTTGGGTGGGCCCCATGGAGCCCGAGACTTGTTGAGTCGGTGGTTCTTGGCTGTGTGCCTGTTATTATTGCCGACGGGATTCGATTGCCGTTTCCTTCCGCCGTACGCTGGTCTGAAATTTCGCTCACGGTGGCGGAGAGAGACGTCGAAAAGCTCGGGGAGATTTTGGAACACGTGGCGGCTACTAATTTGTCTGTCATACAGAGAAACTTGGAGAATCCGTCTGTTAGGCAGGCACTTATGTATAATGTTCCTCCGAGAGACGGAGATGCCACGTGGCAGATTATGGAAGCTTTGTCGAAAAAATTGAACAGATCCATTAGAAGGTCAAACGCTTTCATATAAACCAATACATTTTTGACATGTGTACATTATTACTCCTACTTCTTTGAGAATTCAAAAGACAAAAATTCTCATAAAAGTCTACATTTTAAACCAAAATTAACAAGTAGCCTATAATTTCACAGACTAACAAAATAGTCCCAATTTTAAACTCTACATTTTATTTTAAGAGACGTAAACAAAACTTTAAACTTAAAATCCTAAATTATAAATTATAAAAATAATTCAGTGATTCTAAAAATAAACCTTAAATTAAAAAATGTATTTCATTTATTTTAAAGAAATAATTTATTTTTCTAATAATAAAAATATTAGTATTCATTCAAAACTATTCCAACTTATCAGATTCGAATCATTGATCTAAAAGTTTGTTGTTAAGAAATCTGTTACATTCATCTACTGAAATAAAATCAGATATGAGATACGATTCCACAACTATTATTAAGTATTAAAAAAATATATACTTCTAAAAATATTTCCTTTATTCTTAAGAAAATTGTCTATTTTTCAATGTAAAATAACTATTATTTTTCATTCCAATTAGTGATCAAAGAAAGAATTTCCTGTTAGGAAACCTATTAGAGTCCTCCCCTCTATCAACTTAGCTTAAATCAGTACAATTAAGGATGCAAATAGTTGACATGTTAAAGGAGAAAAATGAGTTGGATTGTTGATTTTACTGAAGTCTTCTAAAAATTTACCATCCTAAAAAAATATTGGGTTTGAGCTTTGGTATAAAAAGCTCCAAAAAATCGGGCATTTTGGGCTAAACTCATTCAAGCTAAGTCTATTTAGACTTAAGTTTGATCGGACTCAGGATTACCCGAAAAGCCCTATAATTTATACTATAATTTATTTAGAAATTTTATTTAAGAATTATTTTTAATTTTTTTTCAAAATTAGGGTTATCAATTTTTTATAATACTTTTTGTTAATCTAAAACCCTAATTTTTAGTTGTGTGACTTTATATAAAACTCAAAACTCAAATTAAACTGGTTTCAAGAAGCCCTCCTACCTTCAATCTGAAGATTCTCATCTCGATTCTATCGTTTCTGCTATTTAGATTACTTATTTATTTATTTATTTATATTTGATATTAGAATTTATATAGATTTAATAAGTTAAAGTTTTTTTAGATTTGATAAAACTATATTTATGATTATTTAAATTTAGATTTAATTTTAACAACTACTTTTTCTTTAAGTTTATTTTATATTTAAAATTTATATTATTTTCTAAAAAACCCGAAAGAAACCGAAAAGACTGATAACCCTGTTAGGTCCGGTCCATACTTTAAAATACAGGTCCGATATATTATCGGCTCAGACGGGGCCATGTTTAAATATATGTGAGTTTTTGGGTTTCAGACCGGGCTGGGTTTAAATATATGTGAATATTGCGGGTTTCAGATCGGATCGGGCCGGATCAGTCCGTTTGACATGCCTAGATAAATCTATATTCTAGAAATTAATAAGGCCGACATAGTAAAAAGTGAAATTGGAAACTTATTAGATTCATTCCCTTAGCTAAAGTCATTACAATTAATGATGCAAATAGTTGACACATTAAAGGAAAAAATTAGTTGTTTTATTGATTTTACTGGATTCCTCTAAAAACTTACCATTTACGATTTTTTTTTGTCATCTGAAGATTTTTATTTCAACACATGAAACAATACATCAGAAGGATACATTTGTGAGATACATAAATTGAAAACTCAGAAACAATACTCTTAACAAACCCAAACTAAAACAGAATCAGAAACCGAATAAACCAAGGACAAATACAACTTTAAACTTGCCATCCTTCTAAAACTTCTGGTGTGCCTAAGTTCGAAAGTATTGAAAATGCCCACGGCCAATCAACAAAACCAAACTTCCTCTTATGTCAGAACCAGAACCAAAGCTTCATGAACCGGCAAGCAAGTGCAGCAACTTAAAACTCCCGGAAACGAACCGTCAAGCAAGTGCAACAACTTGAAAACTCCCGGAAACGGCGTTGTCATAAGAACAAGAAAAACGCCTAGATAGAAACCACCCAAACTGCTCCAGCAACAAAGGACAAAGGACTAAGAGCGAAACCTAAACCATCCCACAATAAAGAGACCACGGCAACAAGAACCAATAAGCGCAGAGCAATGGAGTAGCGAACCACCGACCACCAATAAAGAGAAACAGAACCAGCAAAATTAAAGCCATAAAAACCCCCAGAAACAGCCGATCCTATGCAAAGAAAGGCTAAGAGCAACCACCGAGAGCCTAAGAAATCTCTGCTAGAAACTGAGACTAGCCAACAAAAAGAGTAAGAGAGAAATGACCAGATCGGGGAGAGAGAGAGCTGACAGAGGGAGCAAGTCCGAAGGAGGACACTGCCAACCACTCTGGCAGAACCAAACCGACGAGACAAACACAGATGGGAGGAGAGATCTGAAAACAGAAGAATCAAAAGCGGACTCTTACACCAAAGATCCACCAGATCCGACTCTTTCAAACACTCCTCGCCTAGATCTGCTACAAATTGAAGCATAGAGCCGATCTAACCACGAACTCCCCCAACCCCAATCAAACCAAAACCTCAAAACTCACCAAAGAAAATCCAACAAAAGAAACAGAGGCGAAAAACAAAGGAAAGATCAGTGTCGGCTCTAAAAGAGCAGCCCGGCACCGATCAACGGAGATATACAGAGGCTGGAAGCAAGAAGAGAAAAAGAGAGAGAAAAAAATCCCACTGAATTAGTATTTAATCTAATGATTTCTTACCATTTACAATAAGTATACATTTCTCTGAAAATTAATAAGGCCCACATAATTAAAGGAAAAACTGTCAATCAACATAATAATCAATACAACAATAACATTGTGTTTTTCCTGGAGTCAACACCTCAGCTTTTTAAAGCTTTATAAATATGACACCCTAACAAAAATAATCATCAATCAAAATATTTTATTAATATAATTCACCTACTTATTTTAACTTTTAAACTTAAATCTATTAAAAACCCAAATACTTTTTCTATTAATCTTTATTTTATATTTTATCAAACCCAAACCCAAATAATTAATAACAGCAAACATAAAGAATTTTTTTTTTTTTGTCAAACCCATATCCAAATAATAAATAACAATAAATAAAAAAATTAAATCTTTGTTTTATTTTTTTGCCAAACCCAACCCAAATAATAAATAACAGCAAATAAATAATAATTTTTTTCTACCTATCTATTTGTTTGACAGAGATGTATATGATTGAAAAAAGTGTAGGCTCAACATCAACTATACTTCCATGACAACAACGCAAAAACCCTTATGTTATAAGAAGCTCAGACATCAGTAAAAATTTGAACCAATAAAAACATAACAATAATACATATTATCAACACAATAATAAAATCAGTTTAATATTTTGCTGACCAATTAAAAATCCCAAAGTTTACAAAAAACAGAAGTCGAAAGCGAGGTAGGAGAAGCTCAAACCACCACAGCTTGAAGATTCGTATTTCCGATGGTCAGGGAAAAGAAATCAATAACTTTTCGATTATTCTCCGCCGCTAAGCCTCACATGAGAGCTTTCCATCTCTCATGGTTTCAATTATTCTGCTGCTTTGTCTCCACTTTTACAGCTCTGTAGCTCGGGCTTTCTCCTAGTCATTCATGAAAACCTCAATCTCAGTGCCATTGACATCAGAAACACCAAAATCGCCTTTGCTTCTGGCTCGGTCTTCCCTCAATTTCTCGGTTTGGACATGAAAGAAAAATTTCATGGTTTGAGTAGGAAAATAACAAATTTTGGGGAAATGAGAATTCTCGGTTTTAACAGAAAAATGAGATTTTCCTGTTTTTGTGCGGAAATAAAATTTTCTCAGGTTTTGACAGAAAAATGCGATTTTTCGGTTTGCTGTTTTGATGGGAAACAAAATTTCAGAGTTATGATGGGAAAACAAAATATTTCGGTTTTGACAGGAAATGCAAATTCTCAGTTTTGATGGGCAATACAATTTTTCTGTTTTTGAATACAATATATATATCAATGTCTTTCCAGGAGATGACACATAAGCTTTTTTATGTTATAAAAAACTGACACAACAGAAAAAATTTGAACCAATAAAAACATAACAATAATACATATCATCAACACAATAATAAAATCAGTTTACTATTTTGCTAATCCATTAAAAACTGAAAGATTACAAAAAACGAAGGTCGAAAGCAAAGGAGGAGATGCTCATACCACCACAACTTCGAGATTCGCACTTCCAGTGGTTACCAAAATAAATCAGTAACTTTTGGTTATTCTTCGTTCGCTAAGCCTCACATGAGATCTTTCCATCTCTCATGGTTTCAATTAGTCTGCTGCTTTGTCTCCCCTTTTGCAGATCCGCAGCTCAGCCTTCCTCCCAGTCATTCGTGAAGACCTCAGTCTTAACACCATTGACATTAATCACGTCTGTTTCCAGCTCGGTCTTCGCTGTTTTGAAGTGAAAGCCAAATTCAATGGTTTGAACAAAAAAACAAAAATTCTTAGGAAAATAAAAATTCTCGGTTTTGACGAAAAATGCGATTTTGTCGGTTTGATGGGAAAATAAATTTCCTCGGTTTTGGTGGAAAACAAAATTTCTCGGTTATGATGGAAAAACAAAATATCTCGGTTTTGACAGGAAATGCGAATTCTTAGTTTTGATTTCTGTTTTTGATGGATAATGCGATTTTTTGGTTTTCGCACGAAAACACAATATCACATTTTTTGCGGGAATATGCAATTTGCCATATTTGGCGGAAAAATGCTATTTCTCATTTTTGTTAGGAAAACATGATTTCTCGGTTCGATGAGAAAATCATTTTTCTTGGGTTTGACGAGAATAGAGAATTTCTCTGTTTTGCCGGGAATACGGAATTTCTTGGTTTCAGTAGGAAAATGTAATTTTCAGTTTTGGTAGCAAACCATAATTTCTTGGTTATGGTGGAAAAAAGCGAATTCTCGGGTTTGGCGGAAAAATGTGAATTTGTGGTTTTGGTGTGAAAAAAAAATGATTTTGATGGAAAAACAAAATATCTTAGTTTTGACGGGAAAATGCAAATTTTTAGTTTTGATGGGAAATGCAACTTTCAATTTTGATAAA